CGGGGAGGGAGGGGAAATGAGGATCTGTTGCCAGGGGCTTAAGTGGAGAGCAAATCTTTTGAGAATGATGAGGGCAATGAAGGTACAAATGCGCTTTACACAATTGATGTATGTATGGATTGCGATAAGAGTTGTATGAGCCCCTAATAAAACGATTACAATAATAATAATGAATATAACTTTTTTAAAAGAAGAAGAAATGCTGAGGCGCAAAGAGCTTCACTTGCGTGCTTTCTCAGAAACAGAAAGGTTAAATTGGGCTGGGATTTGAAACCAAGGCTCCGCCTTCTCTTGATCCCAGCCCCGCCCTCTACAGACCGCCCTTCGTTCCAGACTCCGCCCCTTCCCTCTGGGAAGGTCACCTTAGCAACGAGGGACGTCCCGCACGCCAGTGGGCGTGCGCCGGATATCCCGCCCCCGCGCACGTTCACGTTGGCGTTTTCTGCCTCGCCTCCTCCCACCCGGGAGACCGGAAGTCCTCCCTCGGCGGCTGCTCCTCGGCTAGCGGGCCCTCGGGGAACGTAGCCCGGCGCCGCGGCGTTCGACGGGACGCCGGCGGACGGCGACCTCAGTTGAGGGGCGGGGCTTGACGTCAGGAGCCAAGATGGCAGCCGTCGTTGGAGTCTCCTTGAGGCGCGGCCTCCCGGCCGTGAGCCAGGGTGGCGCCTGCCTGCAGGTGAGGCCGGCACGTGAGGGAGAGGGGCGGTTTGAAGGTCACGGAGCCCGCTTCGAAGTGAGGGGGCGGCGGAAGAAACAAGCTGCGGGCACCAAGCAAGGCCTCAGGCAGGGGGCGACCCCCGCACACCTCCGAAGACTTGGCTTTGGGTCAAGTGCATCCCGGTCCCTGATCGTGCGGAGCCGCTCGGGTGGTTAGGCGTAGACGACGTGCTAGGGGTTTGTTGATGTTGTTGTTGTTTTAAGTTCAAAGAAAGGACTTGAGTGGCCCAAGGTCACTCAGCTGCCGGAACGAGAGTTTGACCCCAATCATTTGCGCACCCAGCCATTTTTTGCACTGTGGGAAAGGGCCACCTGCAGGGGTGGGCAGGGTGCAGGTTCACTGCTCCAGGGTGGGGATAGGCACCGGGCGCGATGGGGAGAGACCGGACGGGTGAATGGCAGGCGACTGGGCATGGGAACGTATAGATAGATGGGGGAG